AACTTACAGATCTAACCCTGAAACAACCTCTGAGCTGATCAAAGTCAGGGCACGGCTAACTTACAGATCTAACCCTGAAACAACCTCTGAGCTGAACAAAGTCAGGGCATGCATGGCTGCAGTAACTCACAGATCAATCCCTGAAACAGCATCTGGGCTGATCTAAGTCAGGGCACGGCTAACTCACAGATCAAACCCTGAAACAACCTCTTAGCTGATCTAAGTCAGGGCATGGCTAACTCACAGATTGAACCCTTAAACAGCATCTAGGCTGATCTAAGTGAGAGCACGGTTAATTTTGAATACTTTTACTTATATTTTGAACTGACCTTTCTTTCTGCCATTGATCAGCCGCAGCCACTTTCATCAGATCATGTTTATTATCAACCCATCTTAATGCATCAACAGCATTAAACTCAATACCAAATCCTTCCGCATGTTGAATTTGAAGGAGGTTTTTACCAAACGTCATCTCAGGGAGTGAGGGTAGTGACAATTCTGCTGACAACCTAAATAAATAAAAAAACGTTTTACAGTAGATATTATGTCAGAGTTACAGTGTGGAAACTCTAAGAGGGCCCTTTTTAAGGTAACAAATACAAAACTTTTAGCTCACAGATTAGCAATTTCTGCAATTCTCAAAAATATATTCTGTGAACTTGGACATTTCAATGGCTTTTTGTGAAATTATATATTTTTTTGCTGCTGCCAATCAAAGCTAATCCATTGGTATTTTTTACTGGCAGCCGTGAAAAACCAAATTCCAAGAGGCAACTCGCAACTCACAGCTACCGAGTTCATATAATATTGTAATGAAGACGTCAACCAATCATCAAACAAGTTCAGTTCACATTTTTGACAAACACAGTGCTCAAAACAGCCCTCCCTCAAGAATCACTACAGTGAAAGGTCACAACACTTTAGCCCGAAATACCACACTTCCCTCCCTCGCCACAGCTCCTTAGAAAGGGACTTTAAAATTCAAAATTGCCATCAAATTTAATAAATAATAMAGTAAGAATTACTGTAAGCTACCTTCACTGGTTCCAGAGGCGCTTAGTTGCGGGAAGAAGGTCGAAAAGAGAGAGAAAGAAGGGAAAAAGAAAGCTTTACGTATGTTAACTTTTTAACATTTAATTTTTTAGGAATAAAAGTCATAAACGAAAGTTTAATATCTATTCAGCTTAAATACTAACACAAGTACATAAATTCCCACCTTCTATTAGTATTTCTATATTTTTATTGTCTCTAACGGTAAAATAAGAGAGATTTTTTTCAACAAACCTTTCATTATCTTGTGCTGTCAAAATGGTGCCTTTTCTTGATGTGACCGTCCAGGGGCCAAACTGAAAGCTTTCTGACTTAATCATGTCTGTACTTTATAGAAAAAGGCCTAATTTAGCTATACACTTTATCAAAAAGCAAATAATTTGGTTTAAAAAATAAGTATTTTTAGTAAACGTTCATCGTGCTTTTTTTCTGACAAAGTTGACAAAAACAAAATGGCGGGTGATCTTGGGCTCAAGGTAGATCAGCGGTATGTGTGTGGAAACAGCCCCGATGCTTGGGCTTCCTGTCTTTTTATTTATTTTTTCCTGGCATGATTTACCTTTTATTTAGTTTTTTTTTTGTTTTGTTTTTGTTTTTTGTTTTTTGTTTTTTGTTGTTGTTTTTTTTCGTGTTTCTTTTTTTTCTTTTCTTTCCTTTCTTCGCTTTTCCTTTTTACTCACAAAGCTTTTGGCACAATGCCTTTCTGGTTCAAATGACTTGCCATTGCCATGAATATCATTTTCATACTTTTTCAATAGCAGTGAAAAGGACGGGCGGATTACCGAGTAGAGTCTTTATCTATTATATTGACGGAGGACATCTTGACGGAGGCAAAAACTTGGACGTCTACTAGTCAGGTCTCTTATGGTCTTGATCGTTACAGAGCTTACAAAAGCACCAAACTTGGCATAGTTGTAGCTTATGGTAGTACTATCAATGTTAGAGGGGGAGCCCAACGTAAATTGTCCTTTAAGGGGAATTACGGAGGATTTACTTTTTCAAATTTCACGAATTGGGCTCCCTGTGCTTCTTTTTAAAAATATATTCATTAAATATGTAAAAACCTTTTGAATAAGTTTTAAAACAGCTATCTACCCATTAGAATGCATTATCTGTCATGGCTATCGATTACAACCCCAAATCTTAACAAAAAAGCTACTTTTCGGCATCTCTTTCAAACACTAGTGGCCAGTCCCACTCGGCCATTGGCTAAATCCAAGATGGCGACCCCTTGACTGACCTACAAAACCTGTAAGTATTTTGCTCTTAAAAGGCCGTAATCTTGCTATTTTTATATTGCAATATATATAAAAGTTTGGTTTAACAGACTTTCTTTGAATTTTAAGTTGTTTTTCGAATTAATTAGCTAAAATTAATCGAAAATATAATTATTTCAGAATCGGAAATGGAAATATATTGGAATCGATGCATCATATGCCAAACAACTACAACAGAAGATTTAAGATGTCCTCTTACAGCATCTGGTTCCTGTTATGAACCTGCATCAGTCTATGCCTCTTTTCTTCAGAATGTTCTCGAGTTTAGCTCACTAGGTGCCCTGCCAGTCAATGTTCCCTTCGCTCTTGATATAGACACTGAAGTTTTAATTAAAAACGAGGCGTCTTGGCACAAGTCCTGCTATTTGAAATTCAATTTGTCGAAGCTAAAAAAAGCCAAAGAAAGAGTATCTAGGAAAAGGAAGAAAGAAGAAGACCACGCTGAAGAGGAGAAAGCCCCTGCATTAAAGAATCGACGACAATCAGTAACACACAATAAGGTGGGCTGCATCTTCTGCGGGAAGGGGGGACAGCTACATGATGTCAAAACTTTTTCGATTGACCAGAATATCTGTCGCATAATTACTGAAATAAACGATGCTACGCTAATGCCAAAGATCTCGGGAGTTGATATCATAGCTGCTGAGGCCAAATATTACCTTAAATGTTTGACTGATCTAAGGAATCGGTGCAAAAAATGTTAACTACCGAAATGATTTTTCTCCAGGTACTTCTGTGATTTCCATTGGCTCTGTAACCRCTATGACAGATTGTACTCACGAGGAGGCAGATACGAGGGTTGTGGTCCATATCCTTCACGCCATCCAAGTTGAAGAGGTGAAAACTGTCCTCGTCCGAACCGTGGATACCGATATCCTAGTCATCTTGGTGGGAAAATTTCATGACCTGAGAGAAGTCCAGCCGGAACTTGATCTGTGGCTTGCCTTTGGTATGGGTCGAAACTTTC